AGAGGTAGGAGAGGGCTGAAAACTGGTCAGTCAGCATTCATCGAGTGAAGGGCTCCAGACCAGATGCCAGGGCTGCATAACGCTGGGACCAGGCCAGGAGGAGGAGGAGGCCATCAGGACCAGGGTTTGGTGGCCCAAGCCCTACTGGGATCTAGGACCTCGGTATTCCCGCCTACTGTGTGACTTAGGGTGAGTCACTTCCTCTCTTCGGCCTTGGTTTCCCAGCATAATGTGTATTGAGGGCGTTGGACCAAGTGACCAGCAAGGTGCCTGGCAGCCCAGCTCTTTTGTGATTTCTATGTGTCAAGTTCAAAGAAGAGATCAAAGAAGGAAGCATCCGGGCTCCCTGAAGTGTTCCTTACATCTGCAGGAGCAGGAGCAGGCACTGGGGTTTGGATGCACAGGCCATGTTGCGCTGAACTGAGTGGCGGTGCCCCCTTCAAAGGCCCGTAGTCGGAGGGTAGGGATGGACCTGCGTGCAGCCTGTGGTCATTTCCAAAGCATCAGCAGGAGCCTCGGGAGAAATGTCTATGAGCAATGCGGATCCTCAGAGACGGGGTGCTTTTCAAGGGCCGGGACCCAAAAGGATAGAGAGAGAAAGGGAGACAGAACACACCTTACTTGGTGTGAGACCCACAATTTACTTGAAACCTGCCTTGTTTCACAAAAGGATGTGAGGTGCCTACAAGCACAAAGACAATTCTCCAAGATTAAAACAAAATCTGTAACATACATAGGTAGTACATTTTATTTATTTATTTTTTAAAATATTTCATTTATTTTTAGAGAGAGGGGAAGGGAGGGAGAAAGAGAGGGAGAGAACCATCAGTGTGTGGTCACCTCTCATGTGCACCCCCACTGAGGACCTGGCCTGCAACCCAGGCATGTGCCCTGACTGGGAATCCAACCAGTGACCCTTTGGTCTGCAGCCCACACTCAATCCACTGAGCTACACCAGCCAGGATGATAGGTAGTACATTTTAAATGTATATCCTTTTGACCTAGAGACTCGGTTTACTTATTATTGCATTTTTATTTTTAGTTAGAAATTATTTGAAACTTACAGAAAAGTTGCCAGAATAGTGCAAAGAACTCTCGCTTATCCTCCTACCAGGTTTACCAGCCATCAGTCTTCTGCTTGTTTCTCTAATCTGTAGTCCTTGTTTCAAGTCTTGTTATTTGTCCCAATAACGTCCTTTATACAATTTTTGCTCTGGTCAGAGATCCCAAACAGGATCATGCATTGCATTGTTTTCATGTCTCTTTAGTCTCCTTTGGCCTGAAACAGTCTCCCTGCCTTCCTTTGTCTTTTATGACATTTTTGAACAATAAAAACCAGCGGGGTTGTGTCTCAATTTAGGTTTATCTGATGTTTCCCCACGATTACGCATTACTGCTGAACTGAGGTGGTGTTGTCCAGGTTAATGTATCAGAAATCACATGATGTCAATGATGTCTCTGGTAAAGAAAAAAATTTCGAGACACTTGTTAAAGATGGTGAGAAAGACTTTATTCAAAGAGTATTGCAACTTGGGGTCAGAGTGTCATTCACCCATTTTCCCTACTATGTTACTAGGTTACTATTTACTTTGTAATTAATAAATACCTTGTTGGAACATACTTTGAAACTATTTAAGTGTCCTGTTTCCCATCAAACTGTCACCCAGTAGTTTCAGTATCCATCAGTGATTCTCATCTGAATCAATTACTATGATGGTTGGGAATGCTGGTTTTCTAATTTCTTGTTTTTTTAAAGATTTTATTTGTTTATATGTAGAGAGGGGAGAAGGGAGGGAAGAGAGGGAGAGAAACATCAATGTGTGGTTGCCTCTTGAGCGCCCCCTACTGAGGACCTGGCCCACAACCCAGACATGTGCCCTGACCAGGAATAGAACAGGTAACCCTTTCGTCACAGGCTGGCACTCAAACCACTGAGCCACACCAGCCATGGTGGTGATTTTCTAATTGAATTATTCCTTCTAATGAAAGGAAGAGTTTTCCTTTCATATTTATTTATTTAGATAATATTAGTATAGACTTATTTATCCTTATTTTATTCAGGTTATAATCTTTTCTTGTGATTATATGCTTTGATGCTTAAATTGTCCCAGATTTGGCTAGTGGAAGTCCTTCAAACTGGCTCCTTTGTTCTTCTGACATTTTTGAGTAGTCCTTTCTTTTCTGGCACAAGTTGTTCCAGGCTCATCTTCTACCTTCCCTGCCACAGCCTCGGACGGAGCTATTTTCTTTCTTTCTTTCTTTCTTTCTTTAAGATTTCATTTATTTATTTTTAGAGAGGGAAAGGGAGGGAGAAAGAGAGGAAGAGAAACATCAGTGTATGGTTGCCTCTCGTGAAGCCCCCACTGGGACCTGGCCTGCAACCCAGGCACGTGCCCTGACTGGGAATTGAAACTGCGACCCTTTGGTTCACAGCCCCCATTCAATCCACTGACCTACGCCAGACAGGAGCGGAAGGAGCTATTCTCCAAGGGCTCCTGTTAGTGAAGAATGGGATTTGGACCAGAGATCTGGGAGCTGGCTGTGCCGGTTGCTACGAGGGTGTCATTGTTCAATGATTCATCTCTAATTCTGAGACTATATTCTACACTACAATTTAATGCTTGTGTTTGTGAACAAAGCTGCGTATTCAAGGATATTTGTCTTTTTATCACCCTCATTCCTTCCAAATACGACCATGCCACCATCTCACTTTGCTTGTATTACTTCAGAAGCCTCCTAACTGGTCTCCCTGTTTCCACAATGGCCCCTCTACAGTCTCTTTCATACAACATGCAGAATGGTTTTTTTTTTTGAAAGTCTGGTCACTGTTTCTTCTGCCTAAAACCCTCTGCCCCAACCCCCTCCCCCAAAATAAAGTTCAGAATTCTCAACATGGCTTCAAAGTGCCAAAGGATCTAGTTTCATCTCTAACTTCATTAACTACTGTTTTTCCACTTGCTCACAGGAAAGAACACTCCAGCCAGAGAGTTGTTGCACCTGTGTTTCTCCCCCAGGTATTCAAATGGCTCGTAAAGGTCTTTATTTGTCTCTACCCAAGAGTCACATCTCTAGAGGAGCCTTCCTCAACTGTCCCAGTGAAAGCAGCAACCCATCACTCATCCCTGACATCACGTCATATATTCACCCATCGGCTTGTTGCCAGTCTCTGTCTCTCTACATTGCACCTCTAAAAGGAAGCTCCCTGAGGGCAAGGACTTGTTTGGTTTTCTCCTGCAGCGCCAGTGTCTCGGATACTGCCTGGCATGTCGTGGGCTCTCAAATGCCTGTTGAGTGAATGAAGGTAACTTTTATTGCACCCACCACACCCTCTGTCTGACTCCCCCCTCATCCTTCTGTTTGCATGGCTAACTTCTTCATGTTCTGTAGATCTCAGCTTAAATATCACCTCCTCAGAGAAGCCTTCCATAATTATCTTATTCTAAGTTCCACTGCCCCACTTCGTTTTCTATTTCAGCCTCTGTTCCCCCTGTACTATTTATAACAACTTCCCTTTATCTATTTTCCTGTTGCCCCACGCCCATCTCTCCCCACTACATGCAAGTTCCATAAGGGCAGAGACTGTCTCATTCACTATTGTATCCCCAGGACCTAGAACAACTTGCTGGCAAATAATAAGCTCTCAAGAAATTGGTGGCTGGACTTCCAAAGGCTAAAAGCTGGAAGGAATCCAAATGTTATAGAATATTGGGCGGCTATGAAAGAATGAGGTAGCTCCATATGCATTATGGAATGATGTCCAAGGTGTACTTAATGTCCAATGCGGGTGGCAAAAGCAGTGAGAGTCCTCTCCTGTAATTAACACCATGTGTACAGAAAAAAAAAAATAGATTGTACCTCAGTGATCATTTGGGGGTGAGGAATTAGAAAAGATTTTAACTTCCTGTATTCTATGTTTCTGTATTTCAACCTTTAAAAAAAATCACTTGTATTTGAGCACATAGTACATGGAAGGCATTGTGGTGAACATTTTACATGCAGGATTTCACGGCATCTTCTTGAACACCTTATGAGATGTTGTAATATCATCACCTCCATTTGCAATGAGGAAGTTAGTTCAGGGACATTAAGTAATTTGCCTAAGGCCACACAACACGCCCATCGCACTACACCACCCCCTGTGTTTTTAGAATTTTTTTTAAAAAAGGAAAGGTAAATACGATGAAACTAGGGGTAGCAATTTAGGGTCCAGGCTTTGCACAAAAAATGATAAGCAAATATGGCCCTGAGCTCCCTAGAAACCAGGGCAAAAAGAAAATATGATGAGTTGTGAGATCCTTGGTGTTTCAGAGATAGAAGAAAACCACTGACCAGGAGAAACACCTTTCCCAAGTGCTGAGTTTTGAGACACTTTTCTATGAGGCTCCTGAACACAGCAGTGTCCAGTCAAGTGGTCTACAGCTTTGGTGACATAGCTGCATTCCCAGGTAGCTGTTGGCTGGTTACAGATGAAAGTTCAGTTAAAGCAATTCCACAAGGGGCCAGGTTTATAAAGCCTCAGGTGGGCTGGCTAGACCTATAGTTAAAATTAGATGTGTGGCCTAACCCTCCAGCAAACTTCCACAATGTTACAAATTCAACTTATTCAAGACTATTAGCAAGAATCAGGAGACAAGAAGTGACATTCATCTTAAATTTCAGCCCTAGTGAATTTCCCAAGTAGGTTGGTTGGTTTTATGCTGCTTTTACAAAGAAACTGACTCATAGCCTAGTTACATGACGAGACTATGTCAGCGCCAGCTCCATATCTGCCTCAGACATCCCCTCCCCAGCCACGCCTGCCATCTATGCTTCAGCGAGAGCTTAATGCCCTCAGAATCTCTGTGGGCGGTGGGTCACAGGACCAAGGAGATCCCCTTTCATCACTCCCAACTTCTTGCGCCGCCCCGTCAGGGAAGCAAGTCTCACATTGCACGGATGAGGAAACATCCCACCCCCAAACATAAAAATGATCTCGCGGTATACATCTGACTTCACTCGTTTATTTATTTTTTATTACAAGCTGGGGATAAGTGGGCCCTCAGCTTGGGGAGTTCGGGAGGTTTGCTGGAGGGAGAAGAGAAAGGGAAAGTGGGGGCTTCCAAGTGGAAGAAGATGGGAAGGGGGAAGCAGAGAGGGTGCGGGGTCTAGGCCCTTCTTCCACCCTCTACCGAGGCTTCCCAAGCCAACGTAGAATAAAGAAGCAACAGGACACCCACCCAGAGACGTCCTTGATCCCTTCTCCCCCCATCCCACAATAACACGAAAGAAATCAAGGAAGTTCAGGAGGCGGGCGGCGGGCAGTCTTGGTTTAAAAAAAGGGGGGGGTGCGAAAACACAGATGACAGAGCCTCACAGCCCCGACGCTATGCGGAGGGTCTCCCTCCCCGCTGGGGTGGAGAGCCGCGCGCGCGCTGCTCCCCGCCGGCCGCAGGCCTGGGGGGCGCGCTCAGCCCAAGCCCTTCCTCTTCTTCCGGCCGCCGCGCTCCGCCGCCTCTCCCACGGGGCTGCGGTCGCCGCCGCCGCTGCTGCTGGCGGGCGGGCGCTGCAGACGCCTCTGCACGCGGCGCTCTGGCTCCCCGACTCGCGGCGCCGCCTGCAGTAGGAACTCGCCGCCGCGGAACGTGATGCGCACGTCGGTGCGCGGGTACGTGCCGTACACGCGCCGCAGCTCCCGGCGCACGAAGTCCGGCAGCTCCAGGCGCGGGCCCAGCGCGCGCTCCAAGCGTCCCCAGCGCAGCTCTGCCTGCAGGCTACCGCCCTCCGGCCACTGCGCCCAGCTCTCGGCCGCTGCTGCCCCTGCCGTCGCGGTCGCCTGAAGCGGCGGCCCGGAGTAGCCGAGAGCTGGGAAGGGCGGGCGCAGAGTCGCGGCGTAGGCCTGCGGGAAGGCCCACCAGGGTGGCGCGGCTCCCAGGGTGGCGCCTGGGCCGTGGAAACAGTGGTATTCCCGCGGGGCTGTCCAGTCGCCGGCGCTCAGGGCTGGGGACCAGCTGCAGAAGTTGTGGGCCTGCACGGGGGGCAGCAGCAGGGGGCCGGGCAGGTAAGTGTAGGTGAGGGGTTGCAGTGGAGGCCAGACGCCTTCCCCGGGCGCCACGCAGCTGTGTGAGTACATGGCCAGAAGCTCAGGCGACAGACGTTTTTACTGGGTCTTGGTCCTGACCTGTAGTGGGGTGTGTGTATGTGTGGAACACTTGGTTCTTATTAATTCCACCCGTCCCTGGGGCCTGCTAATCCAGAGCTCTGGTTCATAGCATGAGCCCGAGCTAGCCTCCCGGCTTTTGAGAACCCTTTCTAAAGTGATCAGCTCCCCTCTGTCCCAAGGTTCAGCCTGAACACTAATCTCCCAGCACACACTAAGGACCTAACACCTTTTCAAGCCCTCAGCCCTGAAATTCTCTTCCACTCACTCATCTCCTTAAGTCGCGAGTAGTTGGTCCTCGGCAATTGGGGGGACTAAAGAGGTCCAGAGTGGGGCTCCTCTCCACCACTTTTTAGTTGAGCTGCTCACCTCCATGCTCTGCCTCAGCCACACCTTCCCGTTTCCAGGCAAAGGAAAACACCTTGAGCTGGCCAGGAGCCAGCCAGCCTGTGTCTACACTGGATGAGCCGGCTGGTTGAACCCACAGTAACCTAGATGCTCAGCCCTGTGCTCACTGATGTCCTCACCACAACTTGCTCAGACCCTCAGTCAGATATGGTAAGAGTAAAATTCAGCCCCATGTCTGTCTAAAGACGTTAGCCTTATTACCAGTCCATGCTAAGGCTTCTTTGAGGCTATCATCTTACAGTCCTCCTGCTCTAGAATGTTGCATAAGAACTTCTAGTTCTTAATAAATGTGTGCAGTACATGGTGATATTCTCATTTATTTTTAGTTTTTTAAAATATTTTATTTATTTAATTTTAGAGAGCAGAGAAGGGAGGGAGAGAGAAAAACATTGATGTGCAAGAGCTACATCAGTCGGTTGCCTCTTGCATGTCTGCAGCTGGGGTCCTGGCCCACAACCCAGGCATGTGCTCTGACTGGGAACTGAACTGGTGACCTTTCAGTTCGAAGGCCAGCACTCAGTCTACTGAGTCACACCAACCAGGGCCCCCTTCAGGGTTTTTTGTTTTGTTTGTTTTTTGAGATATTGACATACACTGCTGTGTATGTTTAAGGCATAGAGCATAATGACTTGACTCACATATATGATGAAATGATTACCACAATAAATTTAGTTAATATCCATCGTCTCATTTAGATACCAAAAAAAAGGAAAAAAAATTATTTTTTGCGATGAGAACTCTTAGGATCTCCCTTATCAACTTTCAATTCTACCACACAACAGTGTTAATTACAGCCGCCATGTGGTCCACTGCACCCCTAGTACTGATTTACTTATAACCGGAAGTTTGCACCTTTTGTACCTGTCAACCACCTCCACCTGATCCCTCCTCACCACCACTTCCCAGTGAAATAGCTTTCTTGCTTAGTCTAGTTTGGGTGGAGTCTTTTTTCCTTTTACACGTAGGCCGTTGTGTTTACTTCATATAATTTAACTAGAGAAGACAATGAAATGGGCATTTCATTATTCCAAAGCGCCATCACCTTAGTCTTTAGAAAATTAAATATTTGGGTCGTTATACTGTGGAGTGGAGTCCTCTATTACTTGCGTCAACAACACACACTGAGTGTTCCCCTCCCCCAGCATTTTGTTATGAAAACTCTTTGAATACAGCAACCTGAGTAGTTTTTGCTCGGCGAATCCCAGTACCCCCAGGATCAGAGGCTCTCATCCACAAAGCAGGGATACATCGTCAAGAGAAGTGGGAAGCCAGTCTTGGAGGAAACCGGCTTCTAGTCAGGAAGATTGACAAAATAGGCACAAGGGAAGGAAAATAGATATGGGAGCAGATTTACCTGAACTTGACCTTCAATAACTGCCTGGCTGGAGAGGGTAGAATAGAAGCCGATAAACAAGTTTTGGGCTTGGTTCCCTAGGCTGGTAGTCAAGACAATCCTGGAGATTTAAAAAGCAAAAACCTTAGTCAGCAACTGGAAGTTGAGGACTGGTGAGTCCAGCGGGGACGCTTGGGGAGCTGTCCAGCAGCAGTTTTATATTCAGGCTAGAGATGGGAGGTGGGTAGTCATGAAGGAAGAGGGAGTAGGTAAGTTATACCAGAACAGCTGCTACTCTGGCCTGCATCGCACTGTGTCATGGCTGCTCATTCATTGGGTTCCGCTTACGCCTTTTGAGGGCAGGAACCTTGTTTGTGAAGTCCACTTTACTGCCTATAGCCGATGGCCCGACAAACCCGAGTGAACAGATGAAAAGAGTATCGAAAACTTGGAGGACCCTCCCTTTACCTTTAGAAAGCCCTGGGGAAAGTGAAGGGGACGGAGGAGAAGTTGTTAGGTAGGAGGACAACATGTGGAACCCAGATCAGAGAGGTCAGGAGCCAGGGAAGGAGAGTGTCCATGTATCTACCTGCCTCAGGATCCAGGGACTCTGATACCACTCAAGAATTCAGGCAGGCAGTATGACCTTCAGTCACACCCCACGTCTCCTCCCAGTTAGCTCTGTGCTTGGCAACCAGGAACGGGAAGTCAGACGTAATCCCAAGGTCCAGCCCTCGTGACAACACAGAAGGACACTTGGTTATATTGTCTGTAAAACCAGAGGGCTAGGGAGCCTTGGAGTGCAACCATGGGGCATTAAGTGCAACATAGGCCAAGGTCTTTCCTGTTGTTTCACATGTAGTTCTGGCCCTTTGGCAGCTCTCCCCATTCCCCCGTTTCCCCGTTCCCCTGTTCCCTGACTAGACACCCAGGCAGGGCTAATTAAAGACTCAGGCTTTGCTCTGAAATACAGGCACATGCTGGCCAGAGAAAGAAAGGCAGGAGCACTCAGTCAATTCACGAAGGCCCTACAGTGCCAGGCTCTGGGCTCAATGCTGGGTTTCTTGCCCTCTACTCTCACAGCCAGGAATGCACAGATGGGGGTAAGGGTAGGGAGAAATGGTCATCTTCCTTCTAGTCATGAGGGCTCTCTGGAGCAGGAGGGATTGCTGAAATGGCTTGGAGTCTACAAGAGTGATGGGGTGTGTATGTGTGTGTGGCTTAGGAGAGACACAGGAGGTAAGAAGAGAGTCTGAAGGGGCAGGAATGGGGAGAAGGCAAAAGAGACAGACTGGTGGGAGATGAATGCTGAAGGCAAGGTTCAGGAGATCCCTGGGGACTCCCCAAGAACTGGTTGAACATCCTCTAGCCCCCCGACACCAGGGTTCTTGTGTTGGACCATTGGCTGTGGGTGGGCCCTTCACCAGGTTGTCAGGATGGAGGAAGAGAATGATATTCCTGTTGACAACAAGCAACAAAGGCATAAGGACCAAAAGTGTGCAAGATTTTTATGCCCCTATTTCTCATTTAGTGCCGCCAAGTTCTCATAAGGCATAATGTAGAAGCTCATGAAAGGAGCGTACCTTAACAAAGAAGTGGGGGAGCTAGGGGACGGAGTCCCAGCCTGCCAAAGGTCATGCTCTTTGCCCTGTTTCCCGGGGCTGGTAAGCAGCAGGTCTGGAGTGTGTGCTGTTTGATGGCCTGGAAATGTAACCAGGGTACAGGCCTGTTGGGAGAAGACATAGGACATCCTCACCAGACTGGACTGAGCAAAACAAAACTTTGAGAGCTTGCAGGGGTAAGAAGGGGAAAGACTTCTATTCTGGAAATCGGGAGAGCTGGATTCCAGCTTGTCTGGACCTCTTGCTTATAGTGTGAATGTTACTGAATCTCTTTGAGCTTCAGTTTCATCTGAAAAATGTGTATAATAGCACCTACCTCCAAAGAACAATGTGAGGACTCAACAGAGAAGGCACATAAAGTTCTTGACGCAGTACAGGGCACATAGTGAGGGCCCATTACTCCTGATATTTTGTTATGACTGTTATTAATAGGAGGACGTTGGGCTGCCTAATGGCTCTGTTAGGGCCCAGCGCCTGTGCCCGCAGCTGAAGCTGGGGCTGTCCGGTCTCGAGAGTCTCACAATCCAGCATCAGGGAGTTCCAGGTGGTGTCACTGCTGTTTCCTTATCTGCCTCCGCTGGGCATTCAGCGACAGGCCTGCAGAAAGGTGCTGCGCTCTCCCCATTCTCTGAATTAACACTCAGGAAGGATGGGGAGAGGGGAGGGGCACTCGGAACAGCTTTGTTGATTTAAACTTGCCGGCTGATTGTAAGTGAATCAGGAGGCTTTGGCTAGAAATAAATGACAAAGATTTCTTTGAGGGTCTTGAGATTTACAAGTGGGAAATACAACGAAGCAATACCCAGAGACTTCGGAAGAAGAAAGAAAAGCTGAGAGTTTTTCCAGTAAAAAGTACATTCTTGAGAAGAATCAGCTCAGCACTCAGCCTCTGAGTGGGTCCGAGATAGTAACTGTCCAGAGGTCAGGGTTTCTGGGCACTGAACTTTCTTTCCGAAGGTCTTCAGAGGGCCATCTGCAAGTTCGCATGCGTATCTTCAGCACTGATGCACAGCGGGCAAGTTCAAACGTTTACGTTCCCAGGCTCGCTAAAGCAAAAAGAGAGTCATTTCCTCATCCTCATCCTCCTTTGATTTAGCAGTTTGACTCCTTTGATTCCATTTTGTTTACTGTCTCCTCAGACTGAAATGACATTAAGCTTTGAGGAGGGGATGAGCAGGTCAGGGGTCCAGGCAACCTGCCCCCTTCTTGCTGGCCTCCGCGTTCTTTTTTTTTTGGTCCCTAAGGGCAAGCGCCCATGACAAATATGGCGGCGGCAGCCTCGTGCGCGGGCACCTACCTGCCAGGCGGCGGTCCCGGAGCTCCGCAGAGCCAATCGCTGCGCGGGGGCGGAGGCGGAGGCTGGGGAAGCAGCCCCGGGTGCGCAGGAACGCTGGCTCGCACCTGGTTCCGGGCAGCCGCGATTAGGAATCGGTTGCTACGATTGCGGTGAGGGGTTGAACGCGGCGAGGTTCAGGGGCAGGAGCGGCCGGACTGGGGGCCAATCCGACCCGGAGGACAGACCGAGGGGGACGGGAATGCAGTCCTCTCTGGAAGTCCCGGGGGCTGTCTGCGGGGATGCCCGAGGTGATCAGGTTGTGGGTTGGGAGAGTCGGTGGGGCAGGGTGGGAGAAGCTCAGGCTCGAGCGGTGAGGGTGGAGTCCCTGCGCTAGGGCTCCCTGGGGCCGGGGTCGCCGCAAGCTTCGGGTCCGCATCCATTTCATCAGTGTGAAGACCCGTGACTCGGGTGACGCAATAGAACCACTTGGGGAGCTTTAAAAGAACACCATGCTGGGCTCTGTCCCTAGAAATTCCGCTTTTATTGGTCAGGGTTGAGGCCTGGGCTTGAGCAGGTGATGTTAACGTGCAGACTGGCTGGACAATCGCCACGTGCTTCAGCGGCAGCTCCTGAGTAAAGAGCTCCTGGGTTGACCCCAAACTCCTCAGTGGCTTGGGTAGTCCTAGGGTGAGGTTGCTGACCCTCGAGCGCTGCTGCAGCAACCTGCAGGGGAGGGAGAGGGAGGGGGAGAAGGTCCCTCCGCCAACGAGGCGGAATTTCATGTCTAGCCTGAGGAGGAGGGCAGGCCCGCCAGTGTGGGTTCCCCCAACGGTCCGGCCGGCAGGGCCTTGCTGTGGGGAGACTGGGCAGGAAGACAAGGCTCTGGGGTGTGAAACAGGAAACACAACAGGTGACTCTGAGGTCCGCTACTTGTTGAGAAAAGGACACATCTAATAGTTGTGCTTTCGTGAGACACCTCTGAGGAAAGGCTGGGAGTGGATTTGTTTCTCCCCCTTCACAGGTGTAGGAATAAGCTCAGATAGCTGGTTAGTGGTAATTTAGACGACCCTGGGCTCCCAACCTCAGATTTGCCTTATTACTAGCTCTCCCCGCTGCACTAACTGCTTCTCATGCAGCCTCTAGTCTTCAAGGGAGTCAGAAGCAAGCACCCACTTCCTCTGACACCCCTCCCTGCAGGGGCCCTGTCTGGCACCCGTGGTTTCCTCCACCAGATCCATCAGCCCCACTCACCCAACCAGGGAGAAGCTATTGTTTTCAACCTTTTCCAGCCTTTTATCTCCCAGAAGCCTGATGGGGGAAGAGGGGAGAGTTTTACATCATGCCAGGGGGCCTTTCCAAACAGGTCTGATCCCGTCACTTCATCGCCCCATCCCGTTGTCTCGCAGTAGAATCTTGTGTGCGCGTCACCACAGCCCCCTGTCTAGTGTCTTCCCACCTCCCTGCCCTGAGCTCTCTTCCCGTATTGTTTCTGCGCTCCTTAGCACGGTGCTGGGCACATGGTAGAACCTTAATAAACGTTACTTTTGTTGTTATCACTAGTCCTCTTTGTGTACCTGTTGCCTTGCCGTACCTGTTCTGCTCAGCAGGGTACATGATGATGATCTTGATGGGTTCCCACAGCTGCCAATTTCTGACTCCCTACAGCCGAGCAGCAGGCAGAGCCCAGGGGCAGAGTCGGGTCTGGGCGTGGCACTCTTCAGATAGGTGCTGCTCTTACCTGGGGCTGGGCAACGCTCACATTGGCCTTCTAGGGGCGAGTCAATCCCACATGTATTAGTCGAGCACCTGCTGTGGTGAAGGAGCCTGGCGGAGGCAGGGAGCAGAAGTCAGAGGAGGGTCTGACCTCGCCTTGCCCTTAAGGAGCTTGGGGGCCCGAGGACAGTAACAGGCATTTGGATCCTGATACAGGAGCCGAGGGATCTGAAAAAGAGAAAGAGCACCTGACTGGGAGTCCTCAGGAAGGCTGGTGCCCCTGACCTGCACTGACCTGGGCCTTGAAGAAGCAGGGTTTGATAAGATGGTGGGGGGAGGTGGGCGCAGTGACGTGAGAAATGCTCAGATGTTTTCGTCAAAAACACCAGTTTTGAATCTTGGCTCCAGCACTTAATACCTCTGTGTTTTGGGGCCAGTTGCCCCGTCTGAGCCTTGGTTTCTTCATTTATAAAACGAGGATGGAGACAGTAACCAGACTTGTCAGGATTCATGGTAATAGATATAAAAGCCTGGAATATCCTGCACACCCGAGGAATGGGACATAGTTACAGCTAGGGTAGCGAGGCAGAAGAAAGAGCATGAAGAAAGGTGTGGGGGTGGCATTTAAAAACGGATCCGAGGGATGCAGTCTGCGCAAGGCGGCAAGCAGCATCAGTGTTGGGGGCTGGAAAGACAACCTCAACCAGGGCTTTGGCAGAAGGGACACTGACTGAAGCCCTTTAAAGATCATGAAACCAAACTCCAGAGACTTGAAAAAAAGTGATAATTGCTACTGTTTAGTGAGGGTCTTCTGTGTGCCAGACATGATGCTTGGTGCTGTGTCTACCTTTCAAATTTCAGCCCACAACAGTTTAAGTGGTTGGCTCTATCATTTCCACTTCATATTGGGTTGGCCAAAAAGTCCATTCAGGGTTGTTTTTTTTTTTCTGTAAAATAAAAGACACATTTTTCATTTTCACTGATAACTTTATTGATTTAGATATTTTGAGTATGTCGGCTATCTCCTCCTATTGGCTTTTAGTGGGTAGAGGGCAGGGGTGCTGCTAAACATCTTCCAATGCACAAGACATCCTTGTAGCAAAGAATTATTTGACCATAATGTCAATAGCACCAAGAAACCTCGCAAACCACTTTTGATACGTTCGATCTCTCATAGCACCTTCTCCATACACTGCACAAATCTTGTTTGGCATTTCAGTTTTTATCTTTTTTGAAATAATAGAGCATAACACACTGAAAATATTGTGTATTTTCTTTCATCTTTAATATTAAAATGGCTGCACAAAAATTTGCCAGAAGTGTTTTAAATGTATGCTGATATGACAGCTGTCACAATATAATCCGACAAAATTGTTTCAAATAAAATTAAAAACAACTAAGCACTAATGGAGCCACTGTACAGAAAAAACTACATGAACTTTTCAGCCAACCCAGTAGATGAGCCTGAGGCCCAGGATATTCCCCTGCTGCTACCGTGATCCGTTGTAAGTGAGTTTTTTAAAAAAGCCAGTTTCTGAGCATCTTCCATGTGACCGGCATGGTGCTCAGGCTTCTTGGACATCAGTTCAGTCCTCCCGGCACTCCTGCAGAGGCAGGCATTATGACTCCCTGTTACAGGTGAGAAAACTGAGGCTCAGACTGGTTAAGGGACTCGCCTGAGGTTACACTCTTAGCAGGAAGTGCATTTGGCATTAAACCCAGGCCCTTCCGATGGCACAGCCATACCCTTTCCACCTCATGCTCTCTGGGAGGTTTCCTTCTCCTGTTGCCCCAGCATGGGGGCCTGCAGCTCAGCCCCTTGCCTGCAGGGTTCTAGCAACTTCTCTAGCAACCGGGGCGTGTCACGAGACATCTGGGTGGGAAGGGGAGCTTCACTCCCTTGGACGAAGAAGGCTTAGGAGGTGAGGTAGGGAGTTCTGATGAACCCCACCCCATCCTTGTGTGGTGGGGAGGGAAGGCTTGAGAAGTTCCCTAGTAATACTCTCTAAAGCACTCTCCACACTTACCGTGCTAAGTGCTTTAGAGTCTTTTCTCATGGACCACTAACAATGATAGCCTTGGGCAGGTTGGCCTTGTATTACAGATCCAGAAACAAACACAGAGAGGGGAAGCTGACTGCTCTCTAGGGCGCGCAGGGGCTGAGTGGTGGAGTCAGGACTTGGAGGCCTCCAGTGGGTCTTCTTTCAGCTATGTCACTTAGAAGGCAGCCAAGGAAACTCGCAGGGTGACAGATGTGTTCGTGATCTCAGACGTGGTGACGGCCTCACAGGTGCACACATGTTATAACTGGTCAGACCGTACCCTTTGAAGATGTGTAGTTTTTGTATGTCAATGGCACCTCAATAAAGCTGTGAAAAAAAAAAAACATTTCCCAGCAACTGTTCCTTCAGGGGCTCAAGGCTGTGGGGAGAGGCCACCTGGCTGTCTTCCTGCTTCGGGGCAAGGCAGGATCACTGTGGCCTGGGAGAGCTGCTCCTAGACTCAGTGGCTGGTTTCAGGTAGTTTGGGCTGCTTCTCCTCTCATTCCTGCACCACTAGGCATATTCTGGTGTCAGGCTAGCACAACATTGGGAGTGCATGCAGATCTCTTGAGTGATTGCCACTCGCTTCCAGCGAGTCTAGAGTGACCCCAGTGAGATTCCCTCCTGTTCTCCCAACAGAGCCTCTTTCTCACCGGTCAGTCCCTCCCCCAGCAAGAGTGGCTGAGCCTCGCCTATTCTCCCGGGGGCGGGGGGGGGGGGTGCGGGAGTTGGAGGGAGGAGACTCAAGCCCTGCCTTTGAAATCCTGAGTGGAGGCAGGCATGAGAGTCTGCTGTGCGGGGGCGGAAGGCATGGTCAGAGCCCAAGGAGTTGGAGAAGGCCTCCTGGGTGCGGACGGTGCTGGCTCCTGAAGGGTGGGTGAGACAGAGGTGGGGAGATGGGGCTGGTGCCTGCGGTGGGGGGCTCCGGCAAGAACAAAGGCCTGGCCAGAGCAGAAGGTGGCTTGAAGATCTGAGGCAGGCCAGCCTAGACAGGCTGGGAGAGGCCAGACAGCAGAGGCCCTTGCAGGCTGGGCGGGGAGGGGAGGCCAGGTGGGCGACAGGGGAAGGACAGTCCAGTGGGGCCAGCCCTGTTGGACCGGGCCTGGAGTCGGCTCTCCAGGGCCCGACCCTGCTGGGAAATAGAAGTTTTGGCCGTGTGTGTGAGAGTACGTAAGAGTGAGGGAGTGGGTGCACACACATGTGTGAGCAAGGACATGCAGATGAGGCCAGTGGGCAGGCTTGGGTCACAGGCACTCGTGGAGGATCAGCCCCTGAGGGTGGGTGTAAGTCTCTTAGGGCTGCCATAACAATCCACCACAAACCGGGTGGCTTGAAACAACAAAAACTCTCTCACGGTTCTGAGGGGTAAAAGTTAAAAATCAAGCTCCCTTTGGAAGGAGGATCTAGAGCAGGGTGTCCAACCCAAGGCCCATGGGCTGCATGCCCCCCAGGATGGCTATGAATGCGGCCCCACACAAAATCATAAATTTACTTAAAACCTTTTTTTTTTTTGCTCATCAGTTTTTGTTAGTTTGTGTATTTAATGTGTGGCCCAAGACAACTCTTCCTCCAGCGTGGCCCGGAGACGAGCCCTTGCTTGTCTCTCCCAGCCTCCGTGGCTGCCCCCGTCCGTCCGTCCGTCCGTCCGAGGCACTCCTTGAGGCGGGGGCTGAGTCGCTCCAGGTTCTGCCTCATCTTCCCCTGGCCTGCCCCCCTGCGCGTGTCTGTCTCTGCGCCCGAATTCCCATCTCCTCAAAAGGACCCCAGTCGTGGGATCAAGGCCCGCGCTGATCCAGTGTGGTCTCATTTTAACTTGTTTACTTCTACACAGACCCTGTTTCCAGATGAGGTCACACAGGTACTGGGGGTTAGGACTTAAACATATCTTTTTGGGGGCCTGCGATTCAATTCACAACAGGGAGTTTGAGAGAAGGAAGCCCCCAGAGCTTCCCACTGGGGGTCCGACAAGCACACACGGGATTATTTTCCTGACGTGAGAACAGCAGCTTGGAGCCTTAAAAAGAGAGACAGACTTAATGCCCCTGTTTAAAGTGTGGTCATGGACCAGCAGCATGGTGGCACCTGCGAGTCTGTTAGAAATGCAGAGTCTCAGGTTCCTACCCAGAACTACTGAGCCAAAATCTGCGTTTTCATGGAGTCCTCAGGTGACTTGAAAGCACATTACAGGCTGAGAAGCAGTGGTGCTCTGTTAAAAATCCGGCTTTTACGTACTTTCCCACCCGTGACGGTTGGTATAGCCTGCCAGTCTCCGCACGAGTCCACCTGGGTGGAAACCAGACACCCAGAGAACACCTCTGTTCTCTCTTTTCACGTAACGGGTTCTTGAGTTTCTCTCCCATGGGTCAAGTTTACCCATGTGCTTCTGATTTCTGGAGAGCGTTGGGCTTGCTCAGCCTGTCCCTTTGTTGCGTTCTTGGACTATGTCCAACTTTTATTTTTTTCTTAATTAAACTGTTCTTTTTTTAAAAAAATTAATTTTGTTTTATTTTATTTTGTTTTATTTTTTGTTTTATTTTCCTTTGTTTTATTTTTTTAGAAAGAGGGGAAAGGAGAAAGAAAGAGAGGGAGAGAAACATCGATGTGCAAGAGATACATCAATCCATTGCTTCTTGTACAACCCCCAACTGGGGACTTGGCCTGCAACCCAGGCATTTGCCTTGACCGGGAATTGAACTGGCTACCCTTTGGTTTGCAGGCCAGCACTCAATCCACTGAGCCACACCAGCCAGGGTGTGCCCAACTTTTTGCTGTTTATAAATGTTACTGCCATGAACATCTCTATACACATACATTCCTTTGGGATTAGTTCCTTGAGGTGGAATTTCTGGAATTAAAGTGCATGAGCAGTAGAAGCCTCTTATTGTATTTTATCACTCTTCTCTGCCTGTGGAACTTGACAGGTCTCTCTCCATCGACCACACATAGGACCCTGATTCGGGAGGCCCAGTGGCAGGTAAGTCTTTGGAGCCAGACAGGCCAGCGTTCAAATCTGGCACATTTCTGCTGTATGACGTTGGGCAAATTACTTAACGCATCTGAGTTTGGCATTGCTCTATAAGACTGGTATACACTTTGTAGGGATATTACAAAGAAAACAATGATGTCTCCAACATCCATTTATTGAACACTTTCTGGGGGTTACTTCGTTTAATCTTTAAGTTTCTCTGTAGAGCAGGCGTGATCATCTCTTTGCCCAATTACAGAAGAGGAAGCTGAGGCTTGGGTGAAGTAGCTTGGCAGTCACACTGTAGGTACATCATGTGCCCAAACCCAAGGTTGTAACGAAGGCCATTAAGGTCAGATAGCACAGATGAGAGAAGATACTGAGCTCACAGCCCAAGCACGGTTGGACCGGGCTCAGCACTCGGTGGCCCCCTGCCTTTGCTTCCCACGCCTTTATCGGCTTCCTTGAGTTACTCCCGGGTGCGGCAGCCAGGGGCACTGTTTCAGCTGTACCTCGTTAACGATCCCCCAGCTCTGTTTTACGTGCAAACTTTCTTCCAGTTGGAAATAAGTTTTAAAATGACTCCCAGGTCTGGGGTTTGGAGCAGAGCTAGCTCTGATCTTTGTAGCTAACTGGCTCCTTCTTCCCCAGGGACAAGGATGGCCAGGCTGTTCGTGGTCACGAGCGCTTCTCTGCTCCTCCTAGGCTGAGGCTGGGCTGGCAGCCATGGGGCTGGGTGGACCCCAGGCCTGGCTGTTGCGCTTGCCCACAGCCATTGTCTATGGCTCCCTGGCCCTCTTCATCTCTGTTCTGCACAACGTGTTTCTGCTTTACTATGTGGACACCTTTGTCTCGGTGTACAAGATCAGCAAAGCTTCCTTCTGGGTCGGAGAGGTAGGTCCGTGCTGGGGTGGGAGCTGGGGAGATGGCAGTGCTGAGTCCCGCCCAGCCAGGAGCTTGGGGCAGGCTGGGCTGCCCACTGAGACCCAGCAAGAAAAGCTGGAGCTGGAGGCCTGGGTGACTCCTCCGTGGGGATTACACCAGCTCTGGCCACCATCCTGTGAGCCAGGGACTGTCCAGTGCATTCACATATATTAATTTATCAGCTAAGCCCTGCATGGGTGGGAGTTTGATGGGGGTTTAGCAGAGGGACTGACCTGAGCAAAGATTTGCAAGCTGGTGTCATCTTAGAGGGGTGGTGAGCAGGCTGGGTAGGGAAAGCCCTGGAGAGCAGGCTGCCTGGAGCCCACCTGCCCCGTCTCCCCTCTGCCCGCAGACGGTGTTTCTCCTGTGGAACAGCCTCAACGACCCCCTCTTCGGCTGGCTGAGTGACCGCCAGTTCCTCGGCTCCCAGCCCCGGTGTGTGTCTTGGGGAAGGCTCATAACTGGTCCTGTCCCATCTCCTCTTCCCCAGGGCTGGAGGACCCCCACCTGTGTTTGTGGGAGGTGAAGAAAGGGGGACCATTTTTAGCTGCTCTCCAGGCTTCCTCCCTTCCCCGAACTCCGGGTAGACTCTGTCTAGGTCAGAGAAGTGGCCGTGCCTAAGTGCTGGCCTTGGCCACCTGGGGGAGAGACCGACCCAGCTCTGCTTGCCTGGCCCTCGGGACTGGGCACAGCATCACCAGCGCTCGGCTGCTCTGGCTGCTTCCTTCCCCCCATCCCTGCTTCAGCCCATCACTGCCCCCAACCCTGACAAAAATGGGTATCACATCCCACTTTGGCCCTTGGCCCTGGCAGGCAGGCAAGGGGCAGAGGAGAGCACCCATTGGTGAGTTGTGTTTCCTAAATCAGAGGCTGAGGACTTGGAGCTCATTAGGACCACCCTGGGCTCTGTCCTTCGGGGGTCTGGGCAGGGAGACCTGGGCCCAAGGCTGCAGGGGCATCTTCCAACGGCCCCCCTCTCCCTGTCAGGTCGGGCAGTGGGCTCTCCTCCAGGGCCGTGGTGCTTGCACGGGTGCGGGCACTCGGCCGGCATGGGCCGCTGCTGGCGCTGTCGTTCCTGGCGTTCTGGGTGCCCTGGGCCCCTGCCGGCCTGCAGTTCCTGTTGTGCCTGTGCCTCTACGACGGCTTCCTGACGCTCGTGGACCTGCACCACCACGCCTTGCTGGCGGACCTGGCCCTCTCAGCCCACGACCGCACCCACCTCAACTTCTACTGCTCCCTCTTCAGTGCGGCCGGCTCCCTCTCTGTCTTCGCCTCCTACGCCTTCTGGAACAAGGAGGACTTCTCTTCCTTCCGTGCCTTCTGCGTGGCGCTGGCCGCTGGCTCTGGGCTAGGCTTTGTGGGCGCCACACGGCTGCTGCAGCGGCGGGTTGAGGCGGCTGGTAGGGAGCCGGGGTGTCCAGACCTGGCTGTGGATAGCGGGTGAGTGGCCAGCACCGTCCTCCGTCTGATTTCAGTGCCAGACCTCCTGTCTGATGCGTGGCTGCCCTGGGGCCAGGAGTGGCTCTGGCCCAGCCCCAGGCCGCTCTTGACTCCCCTCTGCCCCCCAGCCTGTGTGGAGAGGAGCTGCTTGTGGGCGGCGAGGAGGTGGGCAGCATCACCTTGGGCCAGTACCTCCGGCAGCTGGCACGTCACCGGAACTTCCTGTGGTTCGTGGGCATGGACCTGGTGCAGGTATGGGAGCAGTCGCCCCACCCAGGATGGCTAGGGTATGGGAACACCTTTCTCAAAAACTGGGAAATCAGTTCTGGGTCTTGCGTGACGACCGCAGGGTGATTGGAAAGCAGGACTCAGGTTGGGTAGTTAAAGACCTGGATTCTCGCACCACCTGAGCTCCTCACTTCTTGCGTGATCTCGGGCCAGTCTCAGCCGCTGGGGGCAGCCGTGTCCTGCAAAGCGAGGGTATGAAAAAGGGGTGTCTCTCCAGGAACTCCATGACAATCTTTTTAAAACATCGCGTGCCACACCAAAAACACATGTAGTATATAAGCTAGCCACATTTAGAAATAGTTTTTAGGTTATTAAGCTTGTTTTACTAAGGCGTTTCTAATTGCAAAGAAAAACCTTTTAATTGGTGGTAATGACAATTCTACCACTGCTTCTGTTAGCAAAATTAGATGCGCACCCGGAATTGGTGTTATGTTTCGCTCTGGCATGTTCCATGCTGAGGGGCAGGGGGCGGGGCGGTGAGGGCTGCCCTTGCTCTTGCTCCCGGCTCCCCTTTCGCCCCAGCGGCCTCCTCGCTGCCACTTGGTTCCAGGTCTTCCACTGCCACTTCAACAGCAACTTCTTCCCCCTCTTCCTGGAGCAGCTGCTATCCGACCGCATCTCCCTCTCCACCGGCTCCTTCCTCCTGGGTGAGTGAGCGTCTTGGGCAGGCTGGGTGGACAGAGGCTTGCACCCCGAGCCTCTCGCTCGGCTGCAGGCACGGCCCCCCCACCCCCGCCCCGCCTAGCAGGGTGGGGGAGGGCAGACGCTGCTGTGGAGGTGCGGCTCCGGCCCCCAGTTCTGCGTTGCTGAGGAAGGGGCGGAAGCCTGGTGTGGGCACGAGGGGGCGGGGCTGCTCTCAGGGCGGTCCTCTTGGTGCTGGCGCCACCCAGAGGCGGTGGGGCGCAGCGTCTGGGTGACAGCAGAGACTTAGTCACTGTTGTGGATGTAAGACCTGGGTGTAAGTATTCATTACGTACTTACTGATTTGTAGAGAGAGGGGAAGGGAAGGAGAGAAACATCACTTGGTTGCCCCTCGCACGCCCCCCACTGGGGTCCTGGCCCGCAGCCCAGGCAGGTGCCCTGACCCGGAGTCCAACTGCCAGACTCTCGGGCGGCGCTGAACCCACGGAGCCGCCCCAGCCAGGGCGAAGCCTTGACTGCTTACTCACTGTCCGGCCTTGGGTGGGTTTTACTTGGTCTCTTTGGGTTTCCATTTCTCATTTATAAAGCAGGAATAATAATAGTACTTAATGTTAAAAGGCCGAGAGGATCGAATAAAAGGGTGCAAATTCGCTCTCAGCACAGAGCCTGGCACGTGGTTATGCCGCCTCTGGTTCCCTCGATCGTTAAAACGTGGGGGGAAGATCGTGGAAGTTGCCCCCCGCCCCTGACAAGGCCGCCCCACTTCTCCTCAGGCGTCTCCTACGTCGCCCCCCATCTCAACAACCTCTACTTCCTGCCCCTGTGCCGGCGCTGGGGCGTCTACACCGTGGTGCGGGGGCTCTTCCTGCTCAAGCTGGGCCTGAGCCTGCTCATGCTTCTGGCCGGCCCCGACCGCCCCGGCCTGCTCTGCCTCTTCATCGCCAGGTAGGCCCCGCCCTCCCGCGCCCCCACGCCTCTGACCCCCCGCCCCTCACTCCTGCCTGCTTTCTCTCTCTGCTGGCAGCAACCGTGTCTTCACCGAGGGCACCTGTAAGCTGCTGACCTTGGTGGTCACCGACCTGGTGGATGAGGACCTGGTGCTGAACCACCGCAAGCAGGCGGCCTCGGCGCTCCTCTTCGGCATGGTGGCCCTGGTGACCAAGCCAGGCCAAACCTTCGCCCCGCTGCTGGGCACCTGGCTGCTGTGCTTCTACACAGGTGAGGGCCAGGGGCTGGCGAGGGGCTCTCGAGGCTCCAGCGGGTGCAGCTGAGCTGGCGCACCGACTAACAAGGCTCTCGGTCCAGGAGGGGGAGAAGGGCTGACATGGCTGGGGCTGGGCCACCCTGGGCTGCTGTGCCTCCGCTGCCTCTCCCTGCAGAAGGAGGAAAACTGGGTCTCCGATTCTTCTGTTCTTGCATTCGTGGGCTCAGCGAATGGGTGTGCAATACTGTGTCTGCCAGGAGCTGTGCTGGGTGCAAGGGCGGTAACAGCCAGACACACACGGTCTTCGCCATCCTGAGGCTTATATCCTCGTCAGGGTGCAGGGGGCTGTGGTGACACACAGCCAAACGGGAAAATAGCGGTAGTGACAGTGCAGTGGTAAAGACAGGGGTCTTCAATAGTCGGGGTTTTGCTCGAGATTGTTTCATTATAACATTGACAAGATACTTTAGGAACTTAACTCTTGTTTATATTAATTAGCCTATGGTAAAATTGTTTCATTACACATTGTTTCACTTAACGTCACAGAACCTATTGACGCCACTGAGTGAGGACTTGCTGTAGTGTGACTGAAAAGCTACTTAATGTGGTCTGGCAAGGTCTCTCTGAGGAGGTGACACTCAGGATGTAAAATGAATGGGAAGGATTTGGTCTCCAAAGATCCAGGAGTGCTTAGATGGCTCTGGGTAAAGGCTCTAGAGAGCAGGGTGTAGTTTGGATTTTATTCTCAGTTCATAGAGAAAGTATTATTGGCGAGCTCTGCCTCCTGGGAGCACGCCTGCGCCTTTCCCTTCCCTGTCTTCTTCCCCCGCAGGCTTGCACCTCCTAAACTCCAAGGGTCCCCGCAAGACTTGCAGTCAGGGGAGCGATGGGCAGCAGCAGATCATCCAGGCTCACCCCCAGAACCCGTCCCTGAGGCCCCTTTTCTCTGATTCTCAGTGAGCCAGAGCAGCCCGGCCTAGGCTCTCTCCTGTTGCTTCTCCGATCCTGGGCCGTACTTCCTTATTTCACTGTCACCAGCTTTCACAAGCATACTCTCAAAAACAAACAAACAAACAAACAAACAAACCCAAAACCAAAAATATAAGAAACAATTGGAGGGGTTTTAAGCAGGGGGTGACATGGTCTGACTTTTTTTTTTCACTTTAATGATTTGAGAGAGGGAGAAAAACATCGATTTGTTGTTCCACTTATTTATGCAATGATTGACTGATTCTTTTTTTTTTTAAGATTTTATTTATTTATTTTTAGGGAGGGAAGGGAGGGGGAGAGACAGAGACAGAGAGAGAGAGAGAGAGAGAGAGAGAGAGAGAGAGAGAGAGAAACATCAATGTGCGGTTGCTGGGGGTTATGGCCTGCAACCCAGGAATGTACCCTAGCTGGGAATCGAACCTGGGACACTTTGGTTCCCAGCCCGCGCTCAATCCACTGAGCTATGCCAGCCAGGGCGACTGATTCTTTTTTAAAATTATATTTTATTGATTATGCTATTGCAGTTATTTTGGTTTTCCCCCCTTTGTCCCCCTCCACCCAGCACCCCTCAGTCCCTCAGGCAATCCCACACCATAGTTCATGTCCATGGGTCATGGGTATAAATTCTTTGGCTTCTCCATTTCCTGTACTGGAATTTACATCCCCTTGGCCATTCTGCAATTACCTAGTGGTACTTGTTAACCCCCCCACCTCTTCATCCATTCTCCCCCACACCCCCCTCCCATCTGGCAACCATCAAAATGCTCTGTAGCCACGATTCTGTCTCTGTTCTTGTTTCCTTAGTTTGCTTTTTAGATTCAATTGTTGATAGAAATGTATTTATTGCCATTTTATTGTTCATCATTTTGATCCTCTTCTTTTTCTTAAATATATCCCTTTAACATTTATTTTTATCTTTTTAAAAAATATATTTTATTTAATTTTAGAGAGGAAAAGGGAAGGAGAAAGAGGGAAAGAAACATCAATGTGCAAGGGAAACATCAATGGGTCCTCTCTTACACACCCCCAACTGGGAACCTGGCCCGCAACCCAGGCATGTTCCCTGACCGGGGATTGAACCAGCAACCCTTCAGTCTGCAGGCTGGCACTCAATCCACTGAGCCACACCAGCTAGGGCAACATTTCATATAATCATGGTTTAGTGATGATAGACTCCTTCAGTTTTTTCTTGTCTGGGAAGTTCTTTATCTACTCTGCAATTCTAAATGATAGCTTTGCTGGGTAGAGCAGTCTTGGCTGTAGGTGCCTACTTTTCATGACTTTGAATATTTCTTACCATTCCCTTCTAACCTGCAAAGTTTCTTTTGAGAAATCAGCTGACAGTCTTATGGGCACTCCCCTGTAGGTAACTAACTTTTTTCTTTTGCTGCTTTTAAGATCCTCTCTTTATCTTTAACCTTTGGCATTTTAATTATGATCCGTCTTGGAGTGGGCCTCTTTGCATCCATCTTGTTTGGGACTCTGTGCTTTCTGGACTTTTATGTCTATTTCCTCCACCAAATTAGGGAAGTTTTCTTTCATTATTTTTTCAAAGAAATTTCCAATTTCTTGCTTTTTCTGTTCTCCTTCTGGCACCCCTATGATGTGAATATTGCAATGCTTGAAGTTGTCCCAGAGGTTGCTTACACTATCCCTGTTTTTTGTTTTTAATTCTTTTTTTCTTCTTGTTCTGGTTGGTTTTTTTTTCTTCCTTAAGTTCTAAATCATTGATTTGATTCTTGGCTTCATCCACTCTACTATTGTTTCCCTGTAAATGGTTCTTTATTTCAATTAGTGTATCCGTTGTTTCTGACTAGATCTTTTTTATGCTGTTGCAGTCATCACTAAGTTCCTTGAGCATCCTTGTAACCAGTGTTTTGAACTCTGCATCTAATTGATTGCTTATCTCCATTTCGTTTAGCTCCTTTTCTGGAGTTTTGACCTGTTCTTTCATTTGGGCCATGTTTCTTTGCCTCCTCATTTTGGCATCCTCCCTGTGTTTATTTCTATGTGTTAGATAGGGCTGCTTTGACTCTGTGTCTTAGTAGTGTGGTCTAACATAGTAGGTGTCCTGTAGGGTCCAGGGGCACAGCCACCACTATCACCCAAACTAAGTACTCAGGGTGCACCCTTTGTGTGGGTTGGGTACACCCTTCTCTTGTAGTTGAGCTTTGGTTGCTGTTGGCAAATCAATGGGAAGCATTTACTCAGGCCAGTCGGCTGCAAGGATTGGCTGTGACCACTGACCACCAACCTCCACCATCCGTGGAGGATCACTGTGCAGGGGCAGGGTGGTGGTGCTCCGACGTGGCCTGTAGTTGTCCACTGGGTGCGCTGGCCCTGGGGTTTCTCAGGTGATTCAGGCCAACTTCAGTCCCCACCTGTGTTTTGCCTGGAGCCACCCTGCCTGAGCTATAAAGCAATCTGAGATGGCTGCTACTTGTGCTGGCCTTGGAGATTCCCAGGTGAAGCCAAACTGTGAATCCAGGCTGGCTGCTACTAGAGCTGGGCCTGGGGCTCACTGAGGCCAGCTGTTGCTTGTTTGAGAGGATTTAGGAAGTTGTGAAGCAGGAACCAAGACCAGCCATTCATATGGAAAAGCAGCTTCGGAGGGCCTGTAAGTTGGGTGGGCAGAGTCTCTGGGGATCTCCAAGATGGATCAGTGTTAGCCGGGTTGATGGAGTCTCAGGTATGGCACCAGCTTGCTGGCTCTGTGGAGGGGAGGGTTTAGCAAAGGGACAATGGCCTCTGCTTGCCTTGATGCCAGACACTTCAGTTTCTTCTTTTCAAGCTGTCAGAGGGATTGAGTGTGAGTAGGGGAGTCCATGTGTGTGTTCTTTAAGAGGAACTGCTTGGGATTCCAGCAGTTTCTTCCACTGACTCAATCCCTGCTGGTTTTTGCAGCCAGAAGTTGTGGGGACTTATCTTCCTGGCACTGGAACCCTGGGTTGGGGGCCTGGTGTGGGGCTGGAACTCCTCACTCCCGAGACATGCCTCCCGCATTTTTATCCATCACACATTGGGTGACAGGCCAGCCTGTCCCACGTCTGCGCCCTGCCTACCAGTCTGGATGGTTGTGGTTTCTTTAATTCCGTAGTTGTCAGACTTCCATTCAACTCGATTATTGATGGTTCTGAGTGATGGTTGTTCTGTGTTTTAGTTGTAATTTTGATGTGGTTGTGCACAGAGGCAGGCCATGTCTGCCTACACTGCCATATTGACCAGGAGTCCCCATTGGTTGATTCTTGTGTGTACCCTGACCAGGGGTCAAACCTACAACCTTGGCATATGGGGATGACACTCTAACCAACTGAGCTACCTGGCCAGGGCCTGATATATATTTCTAAGAGCTGGCTCTGGTTGCTAAATGGAGAATGTATTGTAGGGAGGCAGTGGGAGAAGTGATGGAGGCTTGGACCAGGGTGGTGCTGGGGGCTGGAAAGAAATATTCGGGTTTGGGATGTGTTTTGGAGTTGGTAGAGGTGGAGGATTGGCTGTCGGGGAGCGCTGAAGTTAACCAAGGAATGTAGGGAGACTTTAAGGCCTTTGGCCCCAGGCCATTGGGTGGATGGTGGTGCCATTAACCAAGAAGTGAAGAATGGGAGAAGCAAGGCTGGGGGAGAAATGAAGAGTTGTGTTTTGGCCCTGTACATGTATCATTTGGGATGTGGCACCGTGGACTTTGCAGGAGCCCAGGGCTGACCCTGTTCCTTCTGCACGCTCTCTTGTCCTAGGTCACGATCTCTTCCAGCAGCCCTCACTGATCCCTGTCGGGAGTGCCCAGCCCTGGCCAGAGCCCCCAGCCCCGCCCCCCGCTCAGGCCCCAACGCTCCGCCAGGGCTGCTTCTACCTGCTGGTGCTGGTGCCCATCACCTGTGCTTTGCTGCAGCTGTTCACCTGGTCCAAGTTCACGCTGCACGGGAGACACCTGCACATGGTCAAAGCCCAGCGCCAGAACCTGTCACAAGCCCAGACCCTGGACATTAAGACAGTGTGAGAGGTGCAGCAAGGCCACCCTGAGGAGGACACTTCCCATAGCTCTGGGCAGGAGCCACTTTTGCCAGCCCGGTGTCCTGCTCCCCTGCCTTCCTTGGTGCAGCTTGGAGGCCAGATGGCAGAATGGGCTCCCCTGGGTCTGAGCCAGGGGTGTCACTGGGTCTGAGACCCTGCTTGGCTGCCTGGCCCAGCTTGGGCAAGGGCTGAGCCAAATTTGCTCAGGGACCTGCTCCCCGCTATGGGGCAAGAGTAAGAAAAGGACCGAGAAGGGATGGGATGCCCTGTGGTCACATGGGGCTGCCACAGGGCGGCCTATCCCACTACCTGGCTGGGGCTGGCACTGCCTGTAGGCTCAGGAACCACTTTCGATACCACACAACTGCCCCCTTCCATCCGGTCGTGGGAAGCTGACTGCAAACCCCACCAGCCCCGTCCCTCCACCCTTCCAGTGGGTCCTCTGCTTCAGCGGTGCCTGAAGGAGCATGCCCCCACTGCTGGAGGGCTCCCCTGCCCCACCCGGCCCCTGAAGAGATTCAGTTCATCAGACTATTAAAGTCGTTCTGTTCCCACTCCCGAGGTCTGTGCTGTGTGTGGGAGTGGTGGGTTGGCAAATAGGATTCCTCACATAACACGAAAAGCACTCGGAGAGCATTTTCCAAAGGTGAGTTGGGAGGCCGCCCACATCCGATTCATGGCGGTCACAGGGAGAACATGTGGACCAGTGATTGCACGGGCACTTGGGAGCAAAAGGCCTTCAGGTAGTAGCCCCGCTGCTGGACATGGTGGTCAAGGAAGAGCGGCTGCTCTTAGGCCAGCAGTCCTCAACCTTGGAGACACCAGGGAGCTTTAAAAAGTGATGTCTGAGCCCCGTTCCCCAGGATCCTGCTCTCGTGGGTCTGGGGTACGGCCTGGGCACGCGGTTTCTGGGAAGCTCTGGTGATCTCACCTCTGCTCTGGGCCAGTGTTTCTCAGCCTTGGCATCCAGGCCTCTGCTTAGATGCCAGGAGCACACCCTTCCCGCCCCTCTGTCCCCCACTGTTGTGACCACCAGATGTTTTTGGGCATTGGCAAATGTGTAAGGGTGGCAAAACTGACCTTGACAGAGAACCACTGCTCTGGACCAAGGATTTGTTGGTCTGCATAGTGTCTAAGAATGTAGGCTCTAGGGCTACGCTGTTGAGTTCAAATCCTAGCTAATAAGGGGCAGTGCTTTGGGAATTATGTGACTTCTCTGTGGTTCTGCTTCCTCATCTAGAAAGTGGGTGATAAAAATACCCCATGTAGGGTCATTGGATCAAATGGGTTAACACTTGTAACGTGACTGGCAATTTCCCTCAAATTACAGAGAACTGATTAAGTATCTGAGCATTGGCCCCAGGAACTGCATCTTAATAAGCTTTTGAACTTCTTATACACATGGAAGTTTTGAGAGACTCTTCACTTCAGGGATGTCAAATGCTGTTCCCCTCATTTGGGAGGACTCTGACCCAAGGACTTAGCAGCATGGGACTTGAGCTAAGGATGGCCAAGTCTGGCCGACGCAACAGTGCCCTCTAGAGGATGGACTAGGCCCAGTCACCACCTCAGACTCAGGGCCCCCAGCTCCTCCCTCTTCCCACTCAGCACTGACTCCAGACAGAGGCCCAGCTGACCGTCTAGTGGAAGGACTTTATTTAAGTATACTGGGCCCCACCAGGCAATGTGGTTTGTGCGAGGCTGTGCGAGGGACAGGCTTGGGCTAAAAGAAGGGAGGTGAGCTGGTTAAGCACACTGCAGTCCGCGGGTTGCCACGTCGCTTTCACACACACCTGCTGCTGTGGCCCACACCTGGCAGGGCCTTTGGTCGCTGGATGGTATGGGGAGAATACTGCCTGAATCGGGGGTTGGGCAGGTTTTGGTGTCAGGTGAGGGTGCCGGTGGACATTTGCTAGCTCCAGCTTTGTACCATCTGGGCTTAAGGGCCTTTGGACCACTGCTAGGCCAGCCCAGTCCAGGGCGGGCACCTGGTCCCACTGGACTGGAGATGAGCCTGAGCCCACCAGCTCCTGGCCCCTAGGTCTGGCCTCCTCCCTCCCTAACCAAATGAGCCCAAAGTCAAGAATGGCACAAAACCGGCCCAGAGGGGGCCTTCTCGTCTCTACAGCCTAGCCTGTCAGGTCAGCTAGAGTGGGAAAAGGCAACTCGGCTAATTTTGCCTCTCTCTCCAACCCTAAGGGGGTCAGACACCAGCACCACTCCTTTGTTAGGGCCTCTGCTGAAGAGCAGTTCTGCCTCCTGTTTCGGAAAACCCAAGCAGTGACCGGCCTGTTGGTTCCGGGGCAGTGGGCACGTGGAAGAGGGAGAAAGAAGGAGGCTGGCGGGAGTGTCTTCGTGTAGCTCAGATCTCGCACGGCCTCAGCCTATGGCTACTGTCAGTTCACCCACAGCAAGGGGGTCCTGGAGCCTACACTGAGCTTAGGTGCTGTAAACATTAGTGTTAAAAGGGTGACTGGTGGGCAGGAGACAGTGAGCTCCCTCCCTCCCTCCAGTCTCCATTCTGAACAACACTTCAATAAATAAAATTGAAGATGGCATTACCCAAGGACGGATGAAAAGCAAGTAATGGAGCCTGGAGCCAATAGGCTCCTTAAACTCTCCAGAGACCCCCCCTGGATGGGGGCTTGGGGTTGGAACACTAACTCTCCCGCCAATCAGAAGTAGCATTACTCCCGCCCTCCTCAAATGCCCAGTGTGGTCCTGGCCCCAGGTAGAGTTAAGGGCATCCTGCTTCTCTTGACCCTGGAGTCTCAGCAACAGCCCTTCCAGCTTCCCAGACCCAAATGGCGATCAAAACCGGACAGCAGTCAACCCCGTTTCCATCCTCAGTCTGTGATCAGGAGGCACCGAGAACAGAATAGTGAGCAAGGGAGGCAGCAGCTGCCATGGGCCTCAGGGCACCCTAGGGGTGGGGTGGGGTGGGGTGGGGTGGAGTGGGGGTGGGGCTTGTCCAGCCTGGGAAGGGCAGCAGCAAGGTGTTCAGGGTTAGGTCTACCTCCCTCTGTGTCCCTAAGGTAGTAAACATAGTCCCACACAGCCAGGCAAAGGCCCAGCAGACGAAGGAGTGGGGCCCTCTGCCAGCACTCTTCCCTGTCAGGGGCCAGTTAGTGGTCAACCCCAGGCCTCAGGCCGTCACCATCACGGGTAGTTCATCGTCCTTTCTGGGCCCTGGGTTTCCGGGGCCACATGGCACTCGCATAGGTGCACATACTCGTACCCACGCACACACTCACACACACAGGCCGTTCCTCGCAAACACTCCAACTCAAGAAAGCGAGTTTTAAAGTGGAGTTAACTTCAGAGAAAGGTGAAGATGATGTCCCAGCATTAGAAGGTTTTCCTGTGGATGGATCGGGCACCGTCTTCCTCGTATTCCTTCTTGGAGACCCACATCTTCTTAAAGGTGTCCAGGGAGGCAAGGATAGAGCCCCTGGGGTAGAGGGAACCAAAGGAACACTGTGAGAGAGAGCGCAGGTGTCTGCGTCCTGTTCCACCTGTTCCCAGAACCACCACTCACCCAATCCACGTGGAATACAGTCTCTCCTGAGGCGCCGATATCTGCAAGGGCGGGGGAAACGGAGTCTGAGACACTCAGCCTCCCCCTCACTTTCCCCTCCAACTCTCCATTCATGGCCAATTCCCACCACCAAGGCCCTGGATGCATTTCACACAACAAAGCTGTGTCCCTTTGGACCCTGGGGCCTCTCCGGGGGTACTGTGGTGAGCCGGACACCCATCCCGAGAAACAGCTTTCCAGCAGCCCTAAGTCCGATTCCCAGAAAGGCTGGGGCTCCCGGGGTCAGTGGAAAGCAGACTCCAGGGCAGGAATCACACTCCTTCACCCAGAACCCTCCTTTCTCAGGCAGGCCGCCCCCTGGTCCCCTACCCCCCGCAGTCACTAAGATGTTGGACCGTGTCACAGTGGAGGAGCAAAAGTCAGCCTCCTACCAATGTCACAGTCTCCCTGAAAGATCACGTGTGGGGCCCTCAGCCTGGCACCCTGCCCCATCTGGACATCACAACTGTCCCTCTTTTGTGAAGACGGACATTCTGGCAGACGTCGGGGTCAGTGTGGAAGTGGGAGCCAGCTGGCAGCACCTGTGTAGCCGAGCTGGCGGGGAGTCCACTCCAAAGGGCGCTTCGGGGGCCCCGGAGGCCCAGCCCCACCCAGTCCCGCCCAGCCCCACCCAGCCCGGCTCCTACCCTGATCTTCACGTCTTTCGGAGCCAGTTTCTTCACTTCACTCAGTAGCCTGTCACCAAAACCTGAATGAGCAGGAATGGAGAAGCTCACATCAGTCCTCTGGGCGTCTAGGCCTAGCATGATCCGGAAGCTTCCTGGGGCAGGGCCCCGAGAGCAAAGACCAACCTTTGAACAGGGTGGAGCCTCCCGAGAGCACGATGTTGGAGAAAAGCGTGCGCCGCAGGTCCATGTCAGACTTCTGGATGGCAAACACCAGCACCTCGTGGATGCCCTCGCTCTCCTCGCCGATCAGGTCGGGCCTGAACAGGAGCTCAGGGGCCCGGAATCGGGAAGGACCGATCTGCAGGTAGAGGGCAAGCTTCAGAGGCTAGGACAGGGGCCGAGGCCCCTCTTAGTAACCAGGGGGCTATGAAGGCCAGGCTTAGGAAAGACCCTGAATGTCAAGGGCTTCCAGCAACAAAGATATGGTTCCTAGGGACAAATAGGGAACAAAAAGGAACAAACAGGGACCCTGGGAAACTGGAGCGAGGAAGCTCCTGTGTTTAATCCTAGCCCTGGCATTTCCCAGCCAGGAGCCCTTTGGCATTAACACGTGGATTCATTCATTCATGGAAACACCTTCCTATCACCGGACGTCCGGGGAGAGGCATCTCGGCCTCTTTTGTGCTCAAGCGGTGAAGGACAGCACTAACCACCCCCTTCCTACCCTACCCTGACCTAGGACAGTGCCTCTGGTGCCCGCGCTCCTCCCACAAGAGAAGCAAAGTCCGGGCCACGCCTCACTGGCAGAGACAGTGCTGCTCAAGGGCTCCACTGCCTTCAGGAGGGGCTGGAGGAGGGTGGGGACATCAGACTCCAGCTCGCCACGGGGGCTCTGTTTGGGCCCAGAGCTTTTGGGGGCCAGAGGGCACTGACAGGAGTGGTCCGGTCGCCTACCTCAATGGTGCTGCCGTCGGGCAGGTAGTACTGAGCCTTCTCTGTCTCCAGCGTCTCATCCTTCTGGGGGTTTATGGACAGGTAGCAGGCTCTCTGTGGAACCAAGCGCGAGTCAGGCAGGCAGGAACCCTGGCACCTACCGGTTGGAGTCCCTGGGGACTGAGGTGGTGCTGCTGCAGAAACCTGCCTGCGGCAGGGGTGGCCCTAACTGTCATTAGAGCTGCTGCCCTGGAGCGGAGGTAGGGGGGTTCTGTCAGCGTTCATTGGGGGGCGGGGCGGGTCAGGGTGTGAGTCCCACCTGTCCCACCTTCCTGGCGGGTGAGTGTGGAGACGTGGCTCTCTGGACCTGGGTCTGAGACCACAGCCTCATTTGAACCCAGTCTCAGG